AGAATCCTAGTCAATGGTCCATCAAATTTTGATGTGATCAGTAAAATTTAGATGTGGTCAATCAATAAATAGTCAAATAATCACAAAGTGTTTCATTATTTTACAATTTGAGCTGAGCATACCATCCGGATAACTGCAACCGGCAACCCTTTGGCAATCATGGCCCTTCGTGTGTCTGTGAATTGGCATTACTGTACGGATTTCGGGTCACAAAGAGAATGTCATTTCAAAAGGCCCGCGCTCCCAGTAGCCGATGGGTTCGCCTCGGCCCGCCCATCGGTATTGCTGGGCCGGAAACCGGAGTGACATCCTGACCTTGGTATTCCGATGTCACTGAACTCACGACATTCACACGAAGGGTTATGCGATGAATTTAAATGTTCAGGAAATCCATATCCTCGTCATTATCATTCTCAACAAATTCTAACATTCTATCATCTACTAGAAATGCCTGTCAATCACCCTTCAGTGCCAACGACGACTTCATGTTCGCTTGCTTCGTCGTCTTCCAGGTCCCTCGAAAGTTCCTGTAATTGTAGACTTTCACAATCTTGTAGGTTCTCCAACAAAGTGGAAAAGTCAAACGCGTCAATGTCAGACGGTTCAAAAGGATCCACTTCAGTGCACGGACGTTCAATGATACCACACTTGCGGAACCCGTTGACAATGGTTGTTTTTGGTAGGCATTCCCAGGCAGTGTTTACCCACTCCACAAGGTCGTATCGGTCAGGCGGCGTTAGCTTGAACTTGCCTTCACGTTGGTTTTGGACCTCGGTACGTAAATATTCAACCCAACGACGGCGTAACGCACTTTTCATAGGCTTCATCCAGGCGACGTCAGCGGGCTGGCAGATCCAGGTAAATGATGGAGGGATTTTTTCTAGAATGATGTTCAATTATTCCGCCAATTGCACAACTTCTCGGTAAAGTGTGCACTAAAATCGTCCCAAAGTAGGAGGACTGGTTTTGTCGATTTTCCGCGGCGGTGGCCAAAGTGGTAGGTCAAAAACGCAAGGGAGATTTTACTGTTCCACCACGCGGTAGGATGACCGAAGATCCTCGAAGGGTGGCGCTCATGGAGTTCTTCAATTTCAGGCCACAAGGTACGTCCAAAACCGTTTCGTTGGGACAAGTTTTCTTGAACGACCTCGGCAATTTTGGACTCACCCGTTTTGAGAACCAAAAACAATGGATACTTCACGCCATTCGAATCTGCTAACACCATTGCTGTTAGACGATCCTTTTCATGTCCAGAGCCCTTGATCCATACGATCTTGGCGCTTTGTTGGTTTATTGTCCTTTTTGGTATGTATTCGTAGTTGATACCAGTTTGATCGGCATTGTAAATGGTATCAACACCCCTTGTAGCTACAACGTCGCGAACGCGCGCTGAAAACTCGGCTAACTTCGCTTCTCCTTGTGCTAGGTCCGCTTGGCCAGCACGGCTCTTGGACCGCATTGCGAAGTGCCAACGTTTCATGAAGCCTTGGATCCAAGCATTGCTGGCTTTGAAGTCGTTAGGACCAAACCCCAAGTCTCGGGCAACCTCAAGCGCGCGTGATTGCAGCAACAGATTGCTTACGGGGATCCCTTCCGAACGCAGTTCGTTGACCCAGTCAGCCAGGCCTTCCTCAGTAGCCTTGTCCAATGTGGTGGAAGTTCCTTGTGGTCGCATAGATTTTTTAAGTCTATTGGACGGTTCGTTGGCAGCCGCCTCAATGGTAGACCTGCACTGTTCCCAGCGGAAGATCCGCTTCCACGGCGTCTTGCGTGGGGTTCCAGCGAGTCCTGGGAAGTAGGTGTCGAGCGCATCATTTATTGATGTGTCTCTTGCTGCACTGATAATACAAAGTTTCTTCGCGACTGAGTAGGATGTAGTCTTGAACAAAGGCACCTTCCGGGAAACCTTCTTGATGGACGGTCTCCCAGTCGCATTGCGATGGGCTACTGGGCGTGTCGTGTCGCGCGCCATGAATGCAATTGACAACAAAATTTCGCGCGCACATGGCACTCAATTTAATTCTCGTATACTTGATATTTATTCTTTATGAAAGGTGACTCGTTATGCTGAGGTACCTGCAAATTTGAATATTGAATTATATTGGATTATACAGTTTTCCAAAGTTCCCACTTAACAAATCAACTACAGTACCTCAAACTAGCGTTTCACGAAGGATGGCTTCGCGCTCGTCGTTTGTCAGGTCCCGCCTTCCAGTTCCCATTTTTAGTGACATGTTGATGAATGTTAAGAATGATGGTTTTATGTAGATTTATATATTGAAATTTTGAGCTTTAAAATTGGTTACGTTATGGTACGATTTCTCGCGGTCCAGGTACATTATGTTAGAGCTCTTGGCGCGCTCTTTCTCGTAGACCAATAAGAACTATTTAATCCGCTCTGGGGCGGGGTGCAGGTACATTTGAATTTTCCCTACAAATATAATGACGAGACATGTACACCCTGCCCAAAGTCAAACCATTATTGTGGGACGGAGGGAGTACATGTCGGCCATTCCTTGGCCAAAACCACTCATTCTTGGACTGATGTCACAGCTAAGGGATGCTCTCAGCGGTGGTACCAGTCCCACATACATAGCGAAAGCCCGACTTGCCAACGTCCGTGTCGAACACCTCGCGCCGCCGACCATGGCGGTACCACGACACACACAAACTACTACATCTCGGCCATTCCTTGGCCAAACCCAGTGATGTCACCGCTGAGGGATGCTCTCAGCGGTGGTACCAGTCCCACATACATAACGATAGACCGACTTGCCAACGTGCGGGAAGAGTAATCCCACTGCAAAATAAATCGGAGCAATCAACTGATACATAAACTGCATATTTCGAGTTGGTAGTTTTGCTACTATCAGCTCGATTTCGGGTTTCCACTTTTCGGATGTGAACGGGGCGATGGGAGATAGTGTAAATGACATCCACCCTGTCGATTATAAGTGGTTTGTACCTGATCCCAGTGATATCTGATTGGGTCGGGTAACATCGAAAATAAGAGGATACATCAGATCTTTGAGTATTGTGTGTCGGCAGACATAGCAACGGGGAGTGGATAGAATGTGCAAGGTTCAAACCAGTGCAGGAACCAAAATTGATGTTAACGTTACTATGAAAAACAAGGACTTCTGTGGGGGCTCGAACCCGGGGCACTGTGTTGTTCAGCCGTGACTTTACCGTCGCACTAACGAGACCATATATGATGACAAGCAATCAAACATCAATTTATATTAACTGTAAAACTCTGTGACCAAAAATTGATTGATAATACAATGTTACAGTAGTTACTGACTGTCCTCGCACAACGTCCTATGCTTCACCACGCCCATGACCATGGCCGGTACACCAGTGACGAACAACTATCTACCGTCACGACCACTACACCTATAAACACAGCGGTTGCATCGGTGACCACGATGTCAACATTATAAGGTCGTGGTCACTGATACAGCCGTTTTGTGGGCACGATTGAGGTGTCAATC